GCTAAGAGCTCTGTAAATGGCACTGCTCCCTGACTAGTTTGTATCAAGCAGGACTATGTCTTATAATTATTTGTGTGTTCTGGCTATGGTACTTCCCAAGATAACTTGCACATAGTACATAATAACTATCTAGGAGATGAATGCCAATGTGTTGCTCCTTTTCTACGGATGAACAGTTCTCCACTAAACTAATACTTCTATGTAAAGGTTTCTTCCTAGGGAACACTCACCCTATCAGATTATATGCTGGTTACTGTCCTCTTATTATTTGTTGAAATCCTATCTTATTTTACCCTAAGGAATGCACGCCCAGCTGGCCTCAGCAGCAGGGAATGTGGTTGGAACATGAGACTCAGAGTCACCAGCCCCAGTCTCACACAGTATGACCCTGCCCCAGTCCTCGATTCCTTTTGTCTCTGACTCTCCTTATGTCAGTTGGGAAGATTTCGTGTCATAGTTCTCAAGGATTTAAAAGAAGGCTTCCAGAAATCAACATCACAGACAGAAACGCCAACACTTAACTCTTCTTCGTAAATGTTTACTGAGGGAGAAAATTATAGGAGGGCAGGGGAAGAAAAGCTTATGCCAGTGACCTAATTTTCCCCATTTAATGTGTGTCTGTCTTCATTTGCTGGAAAATCTTGATCAAGGAAAACATAATGAAGACAAACCACAGCAAGTCAATTCACTAGGTCTGTACATTTCCGTGTCACAAGGCGTAAACCAGTCTAAGGTCATCAATGTAAAATTTTCAGCACGAGGTGGGAGCGGGAGCTGATTAATTCATATTTATATTTTTTTCTTCCTTTGTTGTTGTGTTGGGTGTTCTCTAATTCGACCATTGGACACAGAGCGAGCTTTATAGTCTGGAACCTGTACTTTGATCACTTCAGAGCCGAGATCTCTGGTTCTGTCTCATGTTACTTTCATTGTCACAAAGGTCACTGATGTGTAGTGAAAAGAAAGGAAACAGCAGAGGGCCCCCTGTGATCAGAACAATGGCCACTTAAAAGTGAACAGTGCAATGTTTAAACATACAGACCCAAGATGAGGCCAGTGGCTGGAAGTTGCCTTACCAGGTGCTGACTTTGTCATTGTCTGGCAGTGTGAAGTGGGAAAAAGTATCCTTGAAACTCGAGGTGCCCTTTGTCAAAGACTTTCTTTTGTTGCCAGATCCAGACAGCCCTTTCTCATCCCAAATGTTCCAAACAATAGGAATCTGTTGGATAAATGCTGATAGGATATTATTCAGACACTAAGATAGAAAGATATTTTAAACATGGGAAAACTTTTTACAATACAGTATCGAGTAAAAATTCTATAGGAAATGGCATACACAGTATAATCTCTGTTGTCTACATGTATACATACAACCTCAGAAAAAATACTAGAAAGAAATATATACAGATGTTAAGAGTGACTATCGCTGAGTTATGGAATGCTTCGCAATGTTTATAGTTGTCAATTTTTTTTGTATGTGCCAACATTACACTTTTTAATCAGAAATGAAATTAGGAATATTAAAGCACTTCTGTTTAAAATGTTACAAGTTTCATTTTAAGAGGCACCAGGGTCGGCCAGTGGTAAGATAAGCCTGTGATCAGACAAATGAAAAGTTTGGTATTGCAGAGACCTGGAAGGAACTGGGGTCAAAGAAAGTAGTGAGAGATGACACAGAGTCTGCATTCGATGGGAACTCATTGTTTTACCTCTAAGACTGGTTTATGATTGTTAGACCTGGAATAAACCTTAGGGATCAACTCGACCTAACTCTCCAATGTACAAATGAGGAAACGGAAGTAAATTGATTTCCCAAGTTGCAGAAGCAAGATAGTAGCAGGGCTAGGCAGTCTGACCTCCCTAGACTTCAGATTTTTTTTTTCTCCATTGCTTCCATAGCTGCCCACTTCTGGCTCTGTTAGCTGTGCACGCATGTGGACAAGTCTAGGAGACTCAGTCTGATGAAGGCTATATAGATAGGCTATTCTATCCTCATGTAGGGGAACTTTGGAAGACCCAATTATTTCAAAGACAGGTGGGGGCTTCTGATTATCTGAAATGAGAATCCAAGACCCGGGCTTTGACCTGGTGACTGTCTGAAGCCCCTTCTTCGGTTGCAAAGATGACCTGGGGACCAGCTGGACTTACAACATCTGGGATTCTCAGGAAAAATTCTAGGGATTTATTCTGATTTGGATTATGTTGACTTTTCCACCGGTTGTCATGACAACATGCCTGCCCTCTCTCAACATCAGAGCCTGACCATCACCAGAAAAAGGCCTTGTTTCCTGGCTTATTTACGATGAACTCATTGGGGAAGTGCAGTGAAAGCCCGAATGATATCTTTTTTATCAACAAATGCATACTGAGTGAGCACTGGTAATGCACTCCACATCCCGCTGGGCACTGGAGACCTTTCAGAAGGACCAGAGAGTGGTAAGTACACTGGACCAAACTCTGTCCTCAGGCAGTGTCTCTGGGCCTGTGTTGCGTCTTGAAAGCGAGGGTGACGTTACTGTGAAACATGTTTCTAAGGAGCTAAAGGCTAAATTGGAGAGACAAGGTTCACACACATGATCTGATGGCGAACATGTGAAACAGCATGGAACGACGTGCTGGATTGTCTAACGGGCAAGAGAAAGGCCAGCTAGGATTTGCTCAGGTCAGATTAGTCTCCATCTAAAGGCAGACGTTTCCAGTTAGATAGCAGCTGGGGCCGATGTGGATCAGAGGGACAGTAATGGGTGTGCCATGTGATTCTCAAGCAGGACACATCGATTCCCATGGTTAGCAAGACAGAGCAGCTCCATGGTGGATGCTGCATTTTGAAGAGGAATTTAATTTTTAGGGAACTTAGTGTCTGGAAATTCCCCCGCCAAACAGAGGAATTCAGTCAGAGCAGAGTCAGTGTGTTACTGTTTATCTGATAAGTAAATGCGTAGGTTCTAATATTATGTGCCTACAATGTGACAAGCATTTTCCTAAGTGCTTATGGTGAATTAACTCACCGAATCTTCGCAGAAACTCTATAAATTAGCAAAAACTCTGTAAGTTGAGGCACAGAAAAGTTAAGTAATTTGTCCAGAGTCTCACAGGTAGCAAATGACAGAACCAAGACCCAAACCTTACTAATTCAGGTGCTTCTTCTCTGTTTCCTGGTATGTATAGAAAGATATTTATAGAAAACATGGCCTTTGTCCCTAAGTTACTGCTGGCCTTTCTTACCCCACTGAAGTCATGGACATTTCTGCAGGCTCTCTGATCTAGCTCAGCAGTTTGTGAATTGTTAAATTTTTTTCCATCTCTGATCTATGAATTAAAGTGAATAAGTAGCCATGACAGAGGCTAAGATTCCAAGTGTTAGTTGAGGATTTTAAAACCCTCAGTTCTGCTTGTGGAATTCTGCTCACATAGTCAAGGATGGTAGGTTTGGGAGCTGAATTCCAAGTGGAAGGTCGAATTCCCTGAGTCCCATTCTTAAGCAGTCAGGCTCTGGAAAAATGCAAGTCTCCTTCCGGGCTTCCCATACCTCAGCCAGTCCTGCGTAAAGCTCAGAGAATCAAGAATGTTTATCATCGTCATCAGTAACAACAGCAAATAGTTACTGAACATCCCTACTGGGCAAGATGCCAGGTGCTGTGTAGAACACAGAGGTGAGGAAGATAAAAGCCTGCCTTTAAGTAGCTTGCAGCCTAGGAGCAGATAACTGTAATTGAAGGAAAAATGTCAGAAGTGTCATAAAACGCTGCATCTCTACAGCTGGTTTTTGGTCAGTCTCGTTCTTCATCAACTCTTGCATAGCTCCAAGGTGGGCACTAAGGGAAAGGAGATAGGAATGCTGGCTGATAGACATAACTGGGGCTGCATTTTCCAAGCAGAGGGGGCTTGAGTCAAGCTAGGTGGAGATGGTATAGCCTGATCCTCAGGGGACAATGGCGAGGCTGAAACTTGATCGTTCAGGGAGGATCTTGAAATGACATAATGAGAGGCCATAAAGAAGGGAGAGACCTCACGAGGGCAGAAGAGATGAGGGGCGTTGGAAGTATGCAGAGAGTACAAGATAACCAGGAGTGCAGCCATGAGGCTTAGGTCTGTGCTGAAGAATCAAAGAAAGAAGACTGAGCAGCAGGTGAGAAGCAACAGCCAGAAGAGCCCCCTGCCCGCCCCCAACCGTGGGTAGGTTCTACCAGAGGGACCCCCTTCAGGTTCTACGTTTTAATGGGACAGCTGCAGGTTCCCCCGCTGGCCCTGGCCAGACGAAATCCGGACTGCGTTTGAAGGAACCTGGCTCTAGGAAGCCAGTTTCTCGGGGGCAGAATCTCTATCTTCTTTGGCTTTAAATGTTTCTGAATCTGCTCTCTCTAAAGGCAGGGCTATCTCCTCAAGAGCTCCGAGGGTGAAAGGACGCTGCTGGGCAGGCGGGGAGGGGGCTGAAATTCCCCACCCCCAGTTCATTTATTTATTGCTGAGTTTGTCACCAGTTCCCTACAATACTTCAGGGAGGTCCCAGCTTATTTTGAGTTTGGTTTTTACTTTTTTATTTTTTATGTACTTTTTAATCTGTAACTTTCGTAAATTGAATATAATTTAAAAAAATTTTATTGACGTGTAGTTGATTTACAATGTTAATTTCAGATGTACAGCAAAGTGGTTCAGTTATTCATGTACATGCATATATACATTCTTTTTTGGATTCTTTTCTATTATATGTTATTACAAGAAATTGAATCATATCGTTCCCTGTGCTGTACAGTAGGTCCTTGTTGTTTATCTATTTTATATATAGTATTGTGTGTCTGTTAATCCAGCTCCTAATTGTTCCCTCCCTGCTCTTGAGTTTGGTTTTTAAGGCACCTTGTTTCCCTTCATCTATAACAAGCTCTTTCTCCAGTTTACCGGACACAGCGATTCCCAGCTTTTTGGACACAGATCCCTCTGACCGGGTACACAGTGCCATGAAGCTCTTGACCATAAAGTAACCTCTCCCCAGCCTTCTTTTCAGAAGCCTGTGACGGGAACCAAACCTCTCTAGTCTGAGGCTGGAACGCTGACATATGCTGGATGGAAGAGGAAGTCCGAACTGATCGTTAAATATTTGACCAGCAAGAGAAAGAGAAAGCAATGAGAAACAAAAGCAAACTTCATGTTGGAGTCACGGGGCCATCTACTCTGGCAAGGCCACGTCAGCCACCGCCAAATGTAAGTGTAATTAGGTTATACGTGTTTTTCGGTCTGGAGAAGAAAGCTGTCTGTCTGAGGATGCTGTGTTCCGGCCACTCTAACTGAATGATAACAGAGCCACTGTCAGAGAGCCCTAAGTTCCATCTCAGGTCTAGGTCATTCTCAGCAGGCTGCTCCGGCTGGAAAGCATTCGTCCCGAGGACCCGGGGTCCGTGCACACAGACTGAGATGTTACTTCTACTGGCGACTTTTTTACTTTTGAATTTTCCCACTGTAATTTGGGTAATAGATTAGCAAAATCTCCTTTACTTTTGCCATTTAGCATCACCACTAATAGAACTTAGGAATATTTTAAAAATTAATTGTAGTATATACAATATACATATAAAAAAATACAAACCATTTTTAAGGGACAGTAGAGTGTCATTAAGTACATTCACGTAGTTGTGCAACCAAGCAATCTCTGGAAGTTTTCCAGCTTGCAAAACAAAAACTCTACACCCATCAAACAACAGCTTCTCACTTCCTCCACCCTCCAGATGCTGGAAACCACCATTCTACTTCCTGTTGCTATGCATTTGAGTAATCCAGTTACCGCAAATTAGTGAAAGCAAACGGTATTTGTCTTCTTGGGACTGTCTTATTGAACTTAGCTTCATGGCCTCAAGATTCATCTGTGTCGTAGCATGTGTCAGAATTGCCTTCCTTCCTTTTGAAGGCTGAGTATTATTCCACTGTCTGCAGATATCACATTTTGTTTATCCATTCATCCTTCCACCTTCTGGCAATTGTGCATAATGCTGCTATGAATTTACATGAAGTTTAAAAAGGTTTTTTAAAATATTTTATTTATTTGTTTGTTTTGGAGGGAGGTAATTAGATTTTCTTATTTCCTTATTTATTTTAATAGAGGTATTGAAGGTTGAACCCAGGACCTTGTGCATGCTAAGCATGTGCTCTACCACTGAGCTGTCCCGTACCCTCTACGTGAAGTTTTATATCCTACCTGTTTACTTACCATTTTAATATCTATGTATAAACATATATAATTTTTTCCAGGTGGATACATAGCCTCCAAAATCTTTTTTTTTTCTATTTTAACAGCAAGATGACAGCCTTTCAAGCCCGTGTGCTTAAATATTTTTGTTCAGTTGTACATTTGAGCTGTTTCCATTTTTTCCCTCACTGGTGATAAAAATTTTATACCTATGATATATCCTTCCATATTTTAGCTTCTTTTCTTAGAACAGATTCCTAAGAAATGAATCACTAGATTAAAAGTCATGGACGTTTTCTGACTTGATAGATAAGAGATGGAAAGTCAAATGCCTTTCTAAAAGAATGGTCCCCATTTGCACACTAATAATGTACATGAATGTACATTTCCTCATAGTCACACCAGCTTTATCCTGTTTTCTTACGTTAGAAAATTAAACAGGAGGAAGATAAGAGCTCACTCCTGTTTGATAGACAACACTCTGATTAGTAAAAGTGATGGGCATTTATGAGAACACTCCAGACTTGGCTCGCCTGTGAGTACCAGCGTGGTTACAGCTAACTGAAATGTGTATGATGTGTAAAACAGGTGTATAGCAGACATATGCCCGATATGTAGGGGGCTCAGTAAATGATTGCTATTATTATTACTGCTGTTGCTTCTGTTAGAGCTCAAAGTATGATGATTCTTATTTAGCTGGTACCTGATCTCTCAGGCCCTCAGCTCCTCTAAACTGTGGTTTTCCAATTATGTGGGGCATCCCCAGTGTGGGGCATCCGAGAACGGCTTATTCTTCCTGGTGCAGAAGGATGGCTTCCCTGTGGTGGCTGCCCTGAGACCTCAGGCACCAAAGCTGTACTTAGGGTGGAGGGCATGGTGGCAGAAGTGTCACCTGGGCTCCAGCATGACACTACCTTAGGCCCCGAATCTTGTAAATGTCTTCATTAGTCTATTTTCTTCTCTGTCTTTTGGCCCTCATGCCCTCTCTCCACAGAGGCTCAGGCAACGGGGTGAGTAAGGGAGCTAGTGTGTTGTGCTCCCTATGGTGGGCAGAATAATGCCCTCTCCCCCACCCCCCCAACCCCCCAGAGATGTCCTCACCCTAATTCTGGAACCTGTGAATACATTACCTTAATGTGGTAAAGAGCCTTTGAAGATAGGATTGAGTTCAGGATCTCGAGATGGGGAGATCACTTTGGATTATCTGGACGGGCCCAGTGTCGTCCCATGAGTTATTTTAAGTGAAGGGGGGAGACTAGAGGGAAGAGAGAGAAGGACAGAGAGTTAAGCAACTCTGCCAACACCTTGAGTTTTAGCCCAATAAGACCTATTGGGATGGGGGAGGAGCAGGGAAGGGAAGGGTACAGTTCAGTTGTAGAGCACATGCTTAGCATACAGGAGGTCTTGGGTTCAATCCCCAGCATCTCCATAAAGGAAAAAAAAAAGACCTATTTTGGAATTCTGACCTTCAGACCTCTAAGCTAATACATTCATGTTGTTATAAGCCATTAAGTTTGTGGTAATTTGTTACAGCAGCAGTAGGAACCTCATACGCTCCCCTCCCCCTATTTCTATTGCCTCCTCCCTGTTTCTCTTTCCAGGTCTCCTTTACGTCTCTTTCGATTGGGAGGGGCCCACAAGTTCCACAATTAGAAACTCTCTGCTGCTACTCTGCCCATTAGTCATATTTGCTCTTGTGCAAATTACTTATGTTCTTTGCCCCACCCCCCCGATGACCCTAAATGTCATAAAAGTATAGATCTATAAGGCCACTCTGAGATTCCACAATGAGCTACACTCTCTCATGTAACCATCCAGCCAGTCATCGATCCAAGAAATGTTTACTGGAGGCTTCTATGGGCCAGGCGTTGAGCTAGTATTGGGATGTAAGGATAGCAGTGCACCATCTACACCTTTATGGAGGCCACAGGGGATGGATTTTTATACTTGAGAACAACATGCATAGTTTTTTTTTTTTCCTGTGAGTGTTCTAAGAATTGTTTCTTTCCAGAAAGCAATTGGGGTTACGTGGAGCCTCTTTGACTAAGTAGCAAGGAGTAAGAACTGTACTCTGGTTCCATTCTGTCTTCCAATTTGTATTCAAGACCCAGACAAGGGTTAATGTGTTTGATGGTAGATAAGCAGGGATGAAAAACAGCACAGCCCAGTGCCTCTTTGTTTAGGATAATTTCTCCCCTCTCTTTGTCCTCTTTGGTGCTGCTTTCCTGCCTCTGACGCAGGGAGCTAAGGTTTCAATTAAATCTTTGTGGACAAAGGGCACACATGGCATCCTCAGATAACGGGTGGCAATAAATCCAGCAGCACATCCACTTTCAGAGAAGAGTCCCTGCTGAACTGCCAAGAGCCGCCGATACCTCGCTGAGTACCTCGCACAGGTGGCCCGTCAGGTAAGATGTTTCTCTCTTTGGATGCATTTATTCCTTCCCGTAATTCGTGTCTCTTCGTGGAGGATTTTGACTTTAAAGTAAGTTGACTTCTGATTTGTTGGCAAATCCCTAGTTTGTTTTGTTTTGTTTGTTGTGTTGGTTTCGTTTGCTTTGCTTGTATATTTTTGGTCTATCCTCAGAGTACTTATTTCATTCTGTTTTACATCTTTCAGTTTTCCATCGCTTTTCTGTTAGTCTCTTCTTATTTTCCTGGATATACATTTCTTACGTTTCCTAAGTAAATTTGTGTTTAGAAATACCATTTTTTATATACAGAGAAATGAAAGGTATTCAGTGATTTGCATGTATTTTCTTTTTAAAACTTACCTGGAAATCGGTTCAGTGGGCACTCGGTCACTTAGAACTGTCGTGTGGACCGTGTTTTTCCAACCCTGGCCTTAGAACAGGGTAGCTCGGTGCTGGGATAATTCCAACATTCGAATCTGACTGTTGAACCCCAATGATAATCATTTAAAATTATTTACTTCTTGTGTTATGAAAGTAGTTAACTATCAAATGATTACAGAATAATTAGAAACGACAGAAAAGGAAAAAGAAGATAATTAAAGTCGTTGATGATCATAGCTGGCACTTGGGTGTGTCTCTTTCTAGTGCTGCAAAAGGGTGCACATATATTTATTTTTTATGTAATTGAGCTCAAGCTGTAAATACAGTTGAATATCTTTTCTTCTCACTTAACATATGAAGAGTATTTTCTAAGTCATCAAAATTATTTGAAAACATTATTTGTGAGAGCTGCTTCTATTTCACCATTGAAATGTATCTTTTTTTTCAGTAACGTAAATAATTCAACAACTGTTAATTTTAAATGTAAACCTTTGGCTGCATTTCCAATCATTTCCTTAAGATAGGTCCCACGTCAAGGGGTGTACAATGATGAGGGCCTGATATGCTTCCTGACAGTAAGCTGTTTTAAAATTTACAAGATTGGAATTGTTGATGCTACAACAGAACAGTGAATAAGAAAATGGAACCCTTCCCATCAACGGCGATCGCCTGAAATTCAACAAAAGCCTGTGACGTCATGCTGACCGGTGCCATGAAGTCCTAAGGGGAAAGCTAGTCGTGAAAGTTAGTGTTCTGTTTACACAGAGCAGCGCATCTTTCTGAGCAGGGGTCTCTAGCTTCAGCCAAAGAACAGGAGTGTTAATAGTGCCACAGGGCAAGGGAAGATGGTGGAGTCCATTTCTGCAAGTTAAAAAAGAGCTGGGATTTTGTTCCAGTTGGACACTAATCGTGTGACTGGAGACAAATGTCTTGACCTCTTGGGTCTCAGATTTCTCATCTGTGAGATGGGAGGGTTGGCTTCTAGGTCACTGTTTGTCAATGAGCAACACAAGTAACACATGCGGCACCTGGGACATTTCTGGGTGGTACACACACATCATTTTTTTTTTTTGGCGTAGCACATCAAGTTATATTTTAAAGCAGCAGTATTTCAGGTTTTAAAAAGAGTGGATTTAGAGGACAAGATTAAGTAGGCAACAGCACACTTAGTCTTCAGATGTGACAGACGCCTCCAAACATATGTCTAATGTTTGAGAAACACAGAGTTAGGTGATCTCTAGAGCCTGCTTCCTGTGCAAGGTGGAATTCAGATATAAAAAGCCGGTGACCAGTGCTTTCTTGGAAGGCATTCTGGGAACCGGGTGGAGCTACCAAGCTGTGTAAGAGGTGAACAGAGACACAGGCGTGGAAGAGGGTCCAGTACCATCCTGTCACCTCACCTCTTTGTACTTCTCGTTTTATTTTTATTTGTATTAAAATACATATATTTTTTTATTTTGAGGGCGTCAGTTATTGTTAGTTTGTTTATTTAATGGAGGTGCTGGGGATGGAACCCAGGACCTCGTGCATGCTAGGCCTGCGCTCTACCACTGAGCTATACCCTCCCCCTGCACTTCTCATTTTAATACTGAGTTTCCCTTGTCTGGGCAGAATTTCTCCCCTCTGCTGCAAAGGCTGCAGGAGACCTATACCTGTAACAGGATTCTCCCTGAGAACCTGGCGGAGAAGACGCCCCTAGCCCAGCCCAGCCCAGCCCAGCCCAGCCCAGCCCAGCCCACACCATGCTCAGGGCAGTTTTGGATGTTCCTCAGCAGTTGCTGAAGAAGGGAAGAGAGTCCCGGAAGCTGGTGCTGCTGGTGGTGTTCGTCGCTCTGCTCCTGGACAACATGCTGCTCACTGTGGTGGGTACGTCTGGGGGTCTCGATGCTGGGAGTTAATTTGCTCTGGGCCCCAATGGGCAGCATGCACCCTGTTGGAATTCAGCAGTGAATGGACTTGAGAATTTTTCTTTTTATGCTTGAAAACACAAGGATGGCTGGGGATTGGAGGAAACAGCAGGAAAGGGAGTGTGTAGCTTGCCAACCACTGCTGCAAAGACCCCCGAGGTTCAAGAAAGAAGGAGGTTTAGAGAACATCGTACTAAAACGAAGAGGCTGACCTGGAGCCAGAGCTGGCAGTACTTTTCTTCCTCCCCATACTATCTTTTTTTTTTAAGTTTAGTTAAATTTTAATTTAATTTAATTTAATTTATTAAAAACATATTTTTAGGTTTATTTGTTTTTTAATGGCAGTACTGGGAATTGAACCCAGGATCTTTGTGCAGGCTAAGCATGCTCTCTGCCACTGAGCTATACCCTCGCCCCTCTTCCCCATACTCTCTTCCCAAGGTGCCCTTGCTTCTGAAATAGTGAGCATCTTCTCACTGTGTTGCCTTCCAGCATCTGCTCTATCAAACCACACCTTGTGTGGATACCCAACTCCTTTCCTGTGGTTCGTTCCCGTATGGTCCTACTTTTTTAGTTGGTAGCTTATTAATTTTTACATTGAATTATGCTGGTATATAAATGGGTGCCAACATGTTTCCCCTCTTGGGTCAAGTAGATGCTTTTTTTTTAAAGGGAGGTGCTGGGGATTGAACCCAGGACTTCGTGCCTGCTAAGTATGTGCCCTATTACTGAGTTATACCAACCCTCCCAAAATATATGCTTTTAAACAAGAATCTTCCTGAGACAGATTGTTAATCAAATACACTCACTTCTCATCATTCATGGTAGTTACACACTATACATTTGCTGTGAATACTGCATTTAGCCAGTACTAAGTCATTGCTCCTGGAGGAAATAAACACACATACACTATATAGATTATAACCTTAAATCCTAAAAACACATCCAGGTAGATTGTATTTTCTTTACGAAAGAGAAAACGGGGCTCAGAAGTGTTCAGTGACTTGCCTGAAGCATCCCCCCCCTACTGACAGGTGCCCAGTGGGGAGTCAAGTTCTGCCCAGCTGGCCCCTGGCTGGAGTCTCTTGCGCTGCACGGCCCTGCCCCTCCCGTCTCCATGCTCTGCATCTCTGTGAGAGCTGGAACAGGAAGGCAGAGCCTGCCTCGATCAATCTCAGCTGCAAAAGTGAGCACCTGGCGACTCAGTGCTTCCTCCATTCTCTGCATGGATGTCTGAGAGAAATTGTGATGGCTCCATGAGCATTGGTTTTGTGATTACAAATAAATTTTAGCCAGTCAGTGAATTAGCCAATATGGAATCCACAGATGATGAGGACCAACTCTGTGATGGTAGGAACTTAGGTTCTTTTTTTATATTTATTTTTTATTTTTTTATTGAAGTATTTTATTGAACTTAACATGTAAGTTTCTGGTTTACAGCACAGTGTCCCAGTCATGCATATACGTACATATATTCACTTTCATATTTTTTCCATTAAAAGTTATTACAAGATACTGAACATAGTTCCCTGTGCTATAGGAAAGAAACTTTTAAAATCTATTCTTATATATAGTGGCTAACATTCGTAAATCTCAAAGTCCCAAATTTATCCCTTCCTAACCCGCTTTCCCCAGTAACCATAAGATTGTTTACTACGTCTGCGAGTCTGTTTCTGTTTTGTAGATGAGTTCATAGTGTCCTTTTCTCTTTTTTTAGAGTCCACATGTGAGTGATCTCATACGGTATTTTTCTTTCTCTTTCTGGCTCACTTCACTTAGAATGATGATCTCCAGGTCCATCCATGTTGCTGCAAATGGCATTATTTTATTCGTTTTTATGGCAGTGTAGTATGGAATTTAGGTTCTTGAGCCAATAAGGATAACTTGGGCAGGCACAGCCTTTGAGTGGACTTAGACACCTTCGTGGGAGTGAATCTGAACCCCACGATGTGCCCCTGAAATGACTGGTGGTAAAAAGACAATCTGTCCTTAGTTCTCATTTCTTGTTCTTCACTCGCAGTGCCCATTGTGCCCACCTACCTGTACGCCATAGAGTTCAAAGGAGTCAACACGTCTCTGTACCTCGGCCCCACCGCAGCCTCCCAGCACACCCTCACTCCTGCCTTTTCCGCCATCTTCTCCTTCTTTGACAACAACACCGTATCTACTGAAGGAAGTGTGCCTGGTGGCATAGCCTGGACAAGTGGCACTTCTGGCACCACCCCTCCTCCAGTCACTGAAGCCATGCCAGCACATAAAAACAACTGCTTTCAAGGCACAGAGTTCCTGAAGGAAGAGAACATATGGGTCGGGGTTCTGTTTGCTTCCAAGGCTCTGATGCAACTCCTGGTCAACCCGTTTGTGGGGCCTCTCACCAACAGGTATCTCAGTGGGTGCAGGGTCCTACGGGGCACTCAGGGGCTCAGAGACAAGAGGATGGGCTGAGGTATCATAAAGGGGGTTAGAAGGGAGAGAGAAGGAAAACTCACTTGTCTGTACCCCAGGGCAGGCAGCACTTTGGGAAGCTGGTTACTCCAAAGGATAACGTGATGTTGATGAAATGCCATGGGCTTCAGATGTTCTTAGTGATGTAATGACTGTCGGGTACCAAGAAGGAAACCGGGGAACAGAAGTAATATACTGTTGGTGGTGTTTCCGTGCCCTGGAACGTGGCTCGAGTCGGGTAAGGGTGGAAATAGGACAGGCCTGTTGCAGACTAGAGCACTGGCTCCTTAGTTGAAGTGTTTGGGGTTATCCTGGTGTTTCAAAAAGATATGCGCTCTGACTAGGCCATCCTTCCTGGAAAAGAGGATTTGGGCCCTGGTCTGTGGGCAAATGTGCATGTTTTTTAATTCCTTTCTCTATACCTGCATTCAGAGATCTGTTTTACCATGCACTCAAATAACTGCATTTCTGTTACCAATTACATGAAAAAATACAGTGCACGTATAATGGGTGCCTATTGGAATTGTATCTCTTTTTCCCCTTTTTTAAAAAAAATTCAAGTATAGTCAGCTTACAACGTCGTGTCAATTTCTGGTGTACAGCATAATGCTTCAGCCATACATATATTCCTTTTCATATTCTTTTTCATTATAGGTTATTACAGGATATTGAATAGAGTTCCCTGTGTTCTACAGTGTAAACTTGCTGTTTATCTGTTTTACATGGAATTGTATCTTTGTTTAAATTCCCTTCTAGGATTGGATATCACATTCCCATGTTCGCTGGCTTTGTTATCATGTTTATCTCCACAATTAGTAAGTAATCTGCTTCCTCTTCTCTTCCCTTCACTGATTAACTTTGATTTTATCACATGCTCTGCAGCAAAAAGAGCAGGGTCAGGTTAGCTACTTAGTTATCTGACTAAGTGGCCTGTGACACTGATTTAAATGCTTTACAGTTTTTGTTACGGGGGGCGAGAACAGCCGAAGCAACTCAAGTCTGGGTGGAATTTATATATTCTGCTATCAAAGAATAGATACTTCCTCCAGCTGGAGAAGATTGTAAAGGCCGTTTCTTAAAAAAAATGTGGGGGGTGAGGGGAGGTAATTAGATTTATTTATTTTTTATTGATTGATTGATTGGAGGTACTGGGGGTTGAATCCAGGACCTCCTGCATGCTAAGCATGTGCTCTACCACTGAGCTATATGCCCCTCCATGAAGGCCATTTTAATGTGTATGCTTTTGTGTGTGTGTGTGTGTGTGTGTGTGTGTGTATCAGTAATCCCCTGAGTGAATTTAGTACAAACAGCCCATCTTGGAGAAGACGTCGTAGCATTTTGATATGCAAAGGTAAAGAGCAACTAACAAAGAACCTAAACTGGACCACAGCACCTGGAAAATTCCGAAAAGCCTGCTGCCTTCCAGGAAGGCTGTGAAAGGCGATAGCTTTGGAAAATAAATCTGCTAAAAAGGACAAGAAGAGGCAAATAGTCTACCCCGTATCAGATAAATGTTCTCAATATGAGAGAGATGTGAATGAGAACAGTAAGTAAAAAAAAAATACACCTGGAAACTGACCCTGAGAAAATAAGAAAATGACTGTGGGGCGAGGGGTTGGGGGAGGGCAGCCTGTGGACCCATGGGTGGCTCCCGATGCCTCTGCTGATGTCTGTGGTCTGGGTGACACACCTCCTTCTCCCTCTCATCTTGCTAAGTACCTTTCTGTGACTTTTCTGCTTGTCCTGTTGCTCCTGCTGAAAGTTTCGTCCTTTCCAGCGCAGGACTTGTCACCTATCAACCAATGTCGAACAGGAATTTGTTGCGTTCAGGGCTGGTAGGTGCAAAGCGCAGGGACTCCACGTGTGAAATTCTGTCCGAGAACTGCAGCTTACTCGTGAAACTCCAGCTGAGCCAGAGGAAACCAGGAAGTTAAATTGAGACGTCTTCGTTGAACTTCTAGGAGCCCAGCCCATGCTACACAATAAACAGAAAACTAATAAGATGCTCTGTTTCATCAAATGAGACTTGCACATCATTCCACAGAACTTTAGGAAGCACGCATATTATGCTTCGAGGATGAAAAGTCACTGAGGGAACGCAAAAAATAAAAAGGCATGGTTCCAGCTACCCAGGTGTTCTTGATACTTGCCTGGGAGACCTGCAGACTCTGCTAAATAAGTTAATGCAGTGTCCTGGTAGATCCCAAACTTTTTAGCATAAGGTCCTTGCCTGATTCTCTGCCAAGAACTCGTGTTTCAAAAGCTTTTCGTATCTACCAAGCTGCACGTGTTCAATAATAATTATTGTTTCCACAACATAACCAGTGTTGCTGTACCGAGTTGACCTCACTCTGGCAAACTTTTGGTGTGTAGGGTGTCCTATGTAGCATTCTTTCAGGGTTTTTAGATACCAAAATGAGTTTTCTGATGCCCAAATCACTACCAGTAAGGGCCCCCAGCTAGGAAACTTGCTAAATGTAATTAGGCGCTAAATAGTGGCCCACGGTAGGGGGTGCAAAATGAAAAGGAAATTACTTTGGTCTTCCCAAACAGGGTGACCCACCATCCTAGTTTGCCTGGGATGGAGAGGCTTCCCAGGATTCGAGACTTTTGATTTTCAACCCAGGAAGGTCCTGGGCAGACAGAGATGGGTTGGTCCCTCTGTGCTCAAAGGACATAGGGAGAGCAGACCTGGAATAGATTGGAAGTCAGAAAGCCCAGGAGAGGGCATTGAAGCCCTGGCAAGGAGAGACCCAGCATTTGCATGTTTGGGAGACGGTGTGGTCATGTCGGGAAGTAATGGGAGAAGATTATAAGCGCGGCCAAAGACGTGTGTAATCAGTGGACAGAGGGGCTCAGCTCCGGCTGAGTCAGACGCGCTGGGAGCACGTCCTCAGTTCCGGCGGTGCTGTCCTGCACTTGGCGGTGTGAGACGTGTCTGGACTCAACGACCTTACCACCAATGAAACGCCCTGTAATTTGGCTTTTGGTAACACATCCCTGTTTGGTTCTCAGCTGCGTGTGTGTTAGTCTGAATCTCTTCAAGGGCATGAACGGGATGTTCTCTTTATTTCATGTCTGTTACAGAGCCCAGCACAGCCACGTGTTCAGTATCACTTAATAAATACTGATGTGATTTGGCTGAAGGAGCTTCCAGTATAAGGGGGAGGATCTGATTGGATCACAAGATACCATTTTCTCCCCAATGCCTGTGGTCCTTCAGGTGCACATAGCTTTCGTCCCACGTTCTAGATGACCTCATGGGGCCCAACAAGGGCAAAGCTCAAATCTGAGTGTTGCATATGGAGGATCCCAAAGTAGGGTCTAAGGACCAGTTCCCAGCCCAGGGCACTGGGCACGGACAGCCCTGGCTCCAGTGGACAAAATGTTGGGCTCTAGGCAGGAACAGTGGACACCCAGCCTTCCATCCACTTTGTGGTGAATTGGTTTATGCATCTTTGGTTTCTCAGTCTTCAGGCCAATCAGTGCAGTCCTGGTTAAGGAGGGGTGGGTAATGGAACGACAACTCCGAATACAGAGAACGGTGATCATGCTTTATTAAAACGTATGCATGATGGCTCGTGTCTGTAATACCCTGGATCTCTTCCCGTGGCTGGGGAAGCAAAGGCAGTCTGCTAACTGGAGCATTTTTGCTGTTCTCTTTGCCTAGTGTTTGCTTTTTCTGGTACCTATACCCTGCTCTTTGTGGCCCGAACCCTTCAAGGCATTGGATCTTCATTTTCATCTGTTGCAGGTAACACCAACATCTTGCACACTCACACCCACACGCATACATGCATGCACACACATCTCTTACCATCTCTTACTGCCTTCAGACCCTGTAGGATGTATATGAAGGAATTAAGGAAAATACCATAGTGGTACGCAGACAGTGTGATTTAAAAACAAGATAATTGTAGGTGCCCCGATGGCGGAGTAGGGAGACTCCCAGCTCGCCCTCCACCAAATCCACCAAGAATGACATCTGCAAACCCGCTGAGTCGCACAGAACACCTGCTGAACTCTGGCAGAGTGTCTCTTGCTTCAAAATACAAGAGGATTCTCACAAAATCTGACAAACAAGTTCTCACTGTACAGCACAGGGAACTCTATTCAGTATCTTGTAGCAACTTATGGTGAAAAAGAATATGAAAATGATTATATGTGCGTTCGTGTGTGACTGAAGCATTAGCTTTACACCAGAAATTGACACAACATTGTAAACTGACTACACTTCAGTAAAAAAAAATATATACAAAAACGAGATAATTGTAGAGTTGCCGGCAGTGCCTGTAAATCCCCAAGCCTGAGGTCACCTTCTCTGATGATATGCAGATGCAGCAAGCTCAGGTCAGACCACGCCCAGGGTCAAACCGTGAAGTCGGCCAGGTTTCTATTTAACGCCACTTTGTGGCCTTTCCTCTGTCCCCTTCTTAACATTTTATGCTATTTGAGACGTGTGTACGTGGATGTAAGAGTCCACAGCCCACACTCTCTCCCAGGTCCTCACGCTCTTCTTTGGGCTCCCCCATCACGTAGAACTGTGCTCTGTGTTCAGGATCTTCCCTCCCTTGATCTGCTCCAGACCCATGGACTCAGGGAGACGTGCTGGGAAACGGTACAGGGATAGGAACTGCGGCATCGCTGGACAGTGGTGGTCCATGTTGCCCTTCCCAAAGACCTCTGCACTTCCAATAATATTCTGACCAGGAGGAGTGAGCGGTGTGGGCATTTCAGGGGCCCGTGGGGGCAGTATGTGTGAAATACTGCGGGTTGGTTTCTATAAAACCCCTCAAACGGAAACTCTAGCTAAGGCGGCCCCTGAAGATGTAACAGGGCCGAGATGGAGGTCTCTGGGAGAGAGGCGGACAGGGAGTTTCTGTGTGCCAGCTCTGTCACTCTCCCTTCAGGCCTTGGGATGCTGGCGAGTGTCTACACTGATGACCACGAGAGAGGGCGTGCCATGGGGATTGCCCTGGGGGGCCTGGCTCTGGGAGTGCTGGGTAAGTGGGCGCCGGCCCCTGATCTGGGCTCAGGAGGGGAGGTGCTGTCGACCCTCGGGAGATGGCTGCAGGACGCGGTGGTTTCTCAAGTCATGGGAGATAGCATTTTCCTTTGTGCTGTGTCCAATCATGGTGTGAATCCTTCTGAGATTGTGCCTGGGGAGGGCAAACTCTCTTTCCCCTTAAGAAGCTGCACATCCCTTCAGGGCCTGGGGATGGTCCAGAAACCTAGTCTGTTCAAGGGAGTGAATCTCTGCGCGTTTGCAGCCACTGCCTCACCTCTGCTGCAGTACGTGGCCAGTGCTTTCAGCGTGAGAACGTGCTCTTTGTCAGACTGTGTGCTAAACGCATACATGACCTCCTGTCACCCTTGCCACCACACTCGTGAAGGAGGAATGATTGTCCCTCTTCCGGTGATGAGGATAAGAAAGGTTAATAGCCATCTGAAGTCACACGGCCAGGAAATGTCAGAGTCAGGATACAGACTCAGACTTTCTGGGCTCGAATCCCACGCTCCAGACCACAAGGTTAGACTTCCCTTGAGGTCCGTCCTGCGTCTGGTTTCATCGACCAGTCCAGCAAGCCCCAGGCTTTCACTGAGCACCTGAGACACGCCAAACACGATGGTCACACAGAAGGATACGGGTAGGAAGCCCCCGACGCGCTTCCTGCCCTCTAGGAGCGTACAGGCTAATTAAGAGGGAAACACCAAAAGTCTCTTCCCTGGCCCACGCCTGCTCTCTCGACCACCACGGTGAGGAGAGGGAGCAAACGCTCTGCTCTTTGATGGCATCCACCCCCCCAAACACAGACACCCGAGCT